CGGGCTGGTCATACAACAGGCCTGTCGCTGGTCTTGGAGATGCCGGTGGCAGTGTCAAGGATCCATCCTTCGGCAGCATTCCTGAGTGAGCAGCTCTTCAGTGTTGCTAACAGGCTAGCCTGGACCAAGAGGTAGAATGGCTTTCAGATTTCGGGTGAAAGGGGAATTGTTTGATACAATTCTAACTGCCTTCGTTTCTCGTTCCCTTCATCTTCTTTCTGAGTTCCGGGCACATCTATTTTCTTATCCTTTGTCCTCTCGCGCCCTTTGCTTTTAGCACAAGGAGTCCATGGCATTCTCAAGTTCTCTTGGAATTATTCCCTCTGAGTGATCTCAATCTCAATTGAGCGGCTTGTGTTGTGTTTTTTCCCTTTTCCTCTTGCATTTGAGATAAGTCAAGGCAGGTACCTCCAACCAGTCTTTTACTGTCTCTCATTCGTGTTGACTCGCATCATGTTTCGCATTCTACATAACATTTGGGCGTCTTTTTCTTATGCCCGGAAGATGTTGAGGAGAGCGTACAGTCAACTTCGAACCCTGTTTGAGAGTGGTGTTCTGAAGTCTATGACCTGTGAGCCTGTCTGTTTCTTATCTCCCAACGCCCTGATCTGCTGGTCTGATCCTATGCAACAATCCTGACTTGGGGTATCACTTTTCATCTTCGTTTTCTTTTCTACAATCTGGTGAATTGGTTTCTCTTCCTTCTGGGCCACTTCAGCGCACCTGGGAGGCCTTTCGTCATCCATCGCAAAGCATGAACATGACTGGGTCATAGACAGCAATGACATTTTTTTTTCCATGAAATCGGCTATCAAAAGTATGGCAGTCAAGCCGTTTTGAGCGGACCATAACACGCTAAGGACGCCTCCAGAAGCGGAAGCTATAGGTGAAGTTGAAAGCTCTAGGAAGCTTTTACATAGACCCGAGTTAAGGCCAGTCCAAATCCATTAGTGTAATCAGTATCAATGGTTCCGCCGACCTGCGATACAGAGACTAATTCTTTGGCCTCATTTACGAAAGGTATTGTCAACAATGAACTTGATCAACATGTGACAAATACACAAACCGGTGGCTACAATGGGAATGTATGGATGGAATAGGCAAGCGAAGAATGAATCAATAGAAATTCTGCAATAAATCTAGGTAGTTATGTAAAAGAGAATCGTTCCCGAGGTAATCGCTCGAGCTTTGCTTTGAAAAATTGAAGCGACATTACCCCATTTTCCGCACATTATCACATCCCACCGCGATGCGTATCTAGGCCTCCGTTTCCACCTCCGCAGTTCCATTCTCTGCACTCCCGGCGATTGCCTCATCGTCTGCGTTAATGTCGATCAGGGACTCGGACGATGGCGGTTCAGGGACGACACCTTCCTTCTCCAAGCGCAGGTACTCATCCCACTCTGGGAACAGATCGTCGTCTGTCGCTACGACATCGGGAGCACCGGGGGGAACACCGATGAGGCGAGCGATCTTCGATTTCCCAGATTGTTCCAGCGAAGCCTTCCACTGGACAACGAGCTCAGGAGCCCGGGTCGGTTTGTAGGTCTGTGCGAACAGAACGGCCTCAGCGAGGCGGTTGGTCCGCACCAGGAGGTCGATACAGCCATCGACATCCCCGAGCGACCACAGGCTAGAGAAAGCAACGTTTTGGAGACCTGCTTCAGAAGCTTGCTCGGCCAGCTGGTGGAGACCGGCATGTTTGCCGCTAGCGGTGTGCAGAAGGAGGAGCGATCCAAAATCCTTCGCGTTCGTGAAACACTCCTCGGCCAAAGCAAGATTCCACGCTGCCATAGCGGCATCGCCAACGATCTTCCACTTGTGCTCCACGTTGGCTTCACGGGCAATTTCAAGAGCGGTGTCGAGGTTGTTCAGCGACAGAGCAAGCTCGAAGCGGTGCTCTGGATCGGTGGCCACCTCCAGTGCCATTTCCTTATAGCCTTGACCTTCGAGGAAGCGGGCAACTTTGTTCATTTGGTCCTGAGGAACATCCTTGAGCAGTTCCGCGGCCATGTCCATGTCGCCACGCAGCACGACTGTCTGGTACTCAACCATGCTCAGCGACAAGCCGAAGGAAACAACGTTGACATCCTTGTCGGCAAGGTAGATACGACCATCGCGAGGCAGATAACCCAAGACATACATTCCCTGGTCAAAATGAGAGATTGTGTAGGTCTGGTCACCAACAAGGTAATTAAGGCGATTTGTCGAGTTGGTATAAATAAAGCAGTCTCCAACCCATTGACCTGTCCTGACAGATTCGTTGACGTCGGTGACAACCTCAAAAGCAGACTCAACACCATCTTCATCGGCTTCGCCAGCATTCAGCCCGTTGATGTAGTTCTCCTTCGAAAATCGCAGAACGTAAAAAGTGTCTTCACACGCAAGTGTGACCAGCTCTCCGGACTCAGACCAGTAGACCTATCAACTTTGGTTAAGAGATGCGATATGAGAACCGGGCTTCCGTTCTTAGACTTACAGCTTTGGGTTCAACTTCAATGCGGCGTACAAGGTTCCCAGTCTCCCAGTCGAACATGCCAATTCCTCCCTGACCCTTCACACCCAGAAGCACCCCCCCGGTGAGTCCTTCGGCCTGGAATCCCACATCGAGGCCACCGGTTACTTCCTTGAAGTTCTTAAAGATCTTGACACTGGTCGGTGACTCCCGAATGGCATAGTCGTTGCTGTTGTCCTTTGAACCCCAGGCGAAGTCCAGAGCCTGACCGAAAGCCTTATTTCTCCATGCAAGGGCAGTGTAAATAATGTACTCTCCGTCGCCGCAAACCGAAACAAATCTCCCGTTGGGAGAGTGTGATAGTGTCTGAKGATAAATTTCGCACGAGCCCAATTCCTTCGTGGGTAGGGAAAGCGGCGATCCATCTTTAATGCTGGGGTCACCACCCTTGATAACTGTCGATACCACCTCGTTATGTCTTGCCCAAACAATCTTGCCAGACCCATCCATCGAGACAGCAGGCTCTTCTCGTCCCATCTTCACGACCACCGCACCGTCATCGAAACCCATAGCAATACCTTGTCGGCCACGTTGATACGCAACACACCACGCTCTCTCCAGACCGTAGCTCAATGATTGCTCCAATCTGTATGTGTTTGCGTGCCATAGCTTGATGGTACCGTCCTCAGATCCGGAGATGATAACCGGCAATTCAGGGTGGTAACAGGCAAATGAGACATTGCTTGTGTGACCTTCCAAGGTCGCAATGAGTGCCTTGGTCGTGTAGTCCCAGATTTTGACGGTTCTGTCATCAGAAGTCGTAAGAAGATATGGTTTGTCGGCTTGCGGGTAGTAGTCAACGTGGTTCACACCCTTGGTCTCGTGAGCTTCCAAAGTGAAGTTAGCATGGGGGGAGCCCAGGCTCCAGATCTTGACAGTGCGATCTAGGCACGCAGAAGCGAATGTGTTCGTGTCCTTCGGATTGATGGCCAGGCCCATTACATAGTGGCTGTGACCTTCGTAAACTTGAACACACTTCCAACCTTTCTCCCAATCCCAGAGTTTAATCGTCATGTCATCGGAGGCTGTGAGAACAAATGGTTGCGTGGGGTGGACAGCGATCGATCGAATATAGTCCGGGTGAGCTTCGAACGATGCGATCTTCTCAGACGTATTGTAGTTGTAGACGCGGAGTTGGAAATCATCGGAACCACAGACGATCCAGTTCTTACGGGCAATGAATCGTCCCGCTCGTACAGGGACATCGGTAAGCTCGAAAGTTTTGATAATTGACTTGGGGGAAGATATCCGTCAGTCGAGCTTCACAAAAGGGTCTTCTCAGTGCAGCTCACCTGAGTCTCATATGACCAGATGTATACGTGACCTGTATGTCTTCATCAGCGCATTTGCAATTGCAACCCCTCAGGTCGCTATCATACCGCTATATAAAGTCGTCAGGATCTGATAGCAGGTCAGCATGGTATAAGAGCGTAGAATCACCGAAAAAAGTACTCACCCACGGCTCCGTGGGATGGAAGTCGATGCCCTTCACCCGCTCCGAGCGGGCGAAAAGCTGTCTCTGTTAATCGCAACAATAATCAGCAACTATGTCAATGGGTATTCAAGCAATTGCAAGCCGGGGTATCGAGTCGACGGCATGTAGACGTATATGTATTTGAGTGCTTGCCTGCGTACCTTGACATCCAATCTCATGTTGTATGTGGGGGGGAGACTCTATGTGCGGCGTCGGGGGGTGCGGCCTAGAGAAGGAAGCGGAAACCGGGCCACGAGCCGCTCAAACAGCCCAGTCTGGGATTGCAGAGGGCTTGAGTGAGAGAAAATGTGTTGAAAATATGGTCAACAAATAAAAGGTCAAAGGTCCCCGGACAGAATGGCCCGTGAAGTTGTCACAAACATTCAGGGACTGGCAGCGATGTGTCCACAAGGGAACGGATTCCCGCCAGCTATCTCGAATGGGCTAGCGACTCCTCACCGCTCACCGCCTACGCTATTTGGTTCTTACTCCAGGGCATGGATATCTACCTATATTCAGAGATCATGATGCGCAACCAGCTGTTCAGAATCCAAAATGATCTTCCAGTAAGATTCGGCATCATCTAAGTGCGCAAATGCGCACATCGACGAACGTCATATGTGCTGAGGGAACTTGACGGGCTAGTCCCACTCATTCGCTTGACGATATGCTCAATGTGCATCCTCACAAAGAGTTACATATGCAGGAAATTGAAGCGGCAACTATGATCCCGTCCTTCAATGAGTCCAGGAGGTATGTGCCGAGTTCTACCACGCAAGGACTCGTCGTCCAAGAGGACAGCAACATCATCACTCCATATCCAGGCTCGTCATGCAGGCCTCAGCGTGTAGGACCCATGCGGCGCAACCACGACCAGTAATGGATTTTCGACCTCGTAGAAACGGTTGTTATTGTCTCAAATGGGTGCCCATTCTAATGTAGGGCCACTTTGGCTAATAAATACATGTAATTTTGATTCAAACGAGTAATGTGCGAGATATCAAAAGTCTATTAAGGCGAAGAAGGGGGAACACGATCGAAATAGACCCACTGACCCGGGCGAGGCTTCTCTTCCAGTTCCTCCMACCTGTAAATTATTAAGTATCAGCTCCCTGAGGGGTAGGGTGGGTACAAAAACTTACACTTTAGACTTGTACATTTCGTCAACAAGCTTCAGTTCATTTTCAGCGACCTGGATGACCTCCTCGATCAGACCAGCACCGATCTGCTTCTCAATCTCGGCAACCCTGCGATCTATGGTCAGTTGCACTGCTAGTGACCGCAGAATAAGGGCGTAGGTCAACGTACTGTTCTGCCTCAAGGGCTGGCTCATTCTCCCATTTCATTTGTTCGGTAGCAAAGTCTGAATCTTTCGCCTGTGTGGCAGTCGCCTCCTCAATAGCTTTGTGCCACCGTGCTTCTTCTTCCGCTGTACGAGCAGGTCCCTCGGTAGTTGGCTCCAGGGCTTCACCATCCCACTCCTCACCCCGGGGATTGTCGGTTCCGTCATCGCGCATAAATCCAGCATAAGTTCCATCGGCGAGGCGGAGAGAAGCGAAGCGCTCGGGTTCGGCACTGACAGCCTTTTTCACGCGCTCTAGCCAAGCATCATAACCTGGGGGCTTAACGGACTCGACGATCTGCAGGCGGCGGCGTGTCAAGGCTTCGGTGGATTGCCGGTAGACGGAGGACTCTGGGAAGCTCTTCAAGTTCTCCAAGGTGGTCCTGTAGAGGTGAATTAGGGTGGGACGAGGGCTGGGGTGGGTGACAAGGCCGGTCAAGCCGGTAGGAGCAAAGGGCTCCAAGTACCGGGCCGACTTGACGTTGGCCAGCAACCGAAACGTGGATCTCATAGTGATCTGAGGATATGTAGGAGATAGAAGAAAATCGGCCCAGAGAAATTCAGTGTTCACCCCCAATGGCCTAGGGATTCGACAATAGACGGACTATCTGCTATCTTCAAGGGTGTCTCTGCGGAGTGACCGCACGAAGGTTGAGGTTCCGTCGGTTAGCGGAGAAACAAAGACTCCGGGGCCTCATAATGCAGTAACCAGTCTAGTTCCCTCCAGCGAATTAATTCATATGGCCAGACTTGAGGTCAACTTGGACTTTATCAGCCAACGCGCTAAGGGGGCGTCAACTCACCCGCCTTCTCATCCATTCTGAGGATCAAAATCATCTCGCAGTTCGCAGTTCGCAGTTCGTTCAGTTTTCTCTATTATAAGCAGTCGCTTCTGTTGCACTGCTTTTCGCGCCCTGACACTGCCTGGTCGATTGAGCCGTTCGATAAACGTTGAGTTTGATCCAATGTGCCTACTGTGAAAACCTACTTCTATCCTTCTTCTTCAACGAGTTTCAACTTTCGTTTTTCAGCGTTAAGCTATAGTTTCAGGTCTTTGGCCTTGACCGCCTGCCAGTATGAGGTCCTCGTTGCTGGCGTGGTCGCTCCTTTCGCTCCTCTCTATCCGAACCTTTGCCATTCCTTCCGCCGATATCGCAAATGGTCTCGAACTTGCGAACAATCGCCTCGTCAAAAGAGCGGAACCGGTTGAAAAGACCGAGTCGGGGCCGGCGTCGACAACATTCAATGGCGTCGAAGTGCCGCCCCTGAAAGAGTTGACACCAGAGAGCTTTGAGGAGCTTACCAAGAACGGTTACTGGTTTGTCTATATTATACCCGTAGCAGTGACCCATGTCATAGTTTTATTAACAGGTCAACAGGTTTGTGAAGCACTATTCTCCGTCATGTCCCCATTGCAAGGCGATCGCTCCCACATGGCAGACTCTATACGAATACTACTATGTGAGTGCTCTATCCACGCTCGACACGATCGTACTTGGTTACTGTCTAACATGCGCTAGACATCGAAACCGATATCCTCCTCTTCCGAGCCCTCCGATTCTCAATCCCTTAACTCCTTTCAAAATTTTTACAACTTCCACTTCGCTTCGATGAACTGTCTTGCGTTTTCGGATTTCTGCAAGAGCCTAGACGTCAAATGGTTTCCGACATTTTCCCTCTACCATAATGGCAAACTGGTTGAACAGTTTGAAGGTGCTAAGACAATGGAAGGTCTAAGTGAGTTCGTGGAAGGCAAGCTAGAATCAATCCGACCTGGGTCTCGTCCTCCGAAAGGCGTAAAGCTTCCCGAGCCGGGCGACAAACAGGTAGACACGGAAGCTGCGCCGGATATCCCCGCCGCCAAGGACAAGGACCGTGTGGCGGGAGTCAAGGCTGGTGAGAAGCATAATGAACATGTCGCTCAGCTCGCCGGCGCAGAGGCTCCGGTGAAATCTGCTACCCCTAAGGTAAACTCGAAACCATCCGCGCCTGCGAACCCTCAAGGGATATCCGTTCCTCTTACAGCAGAGAGCTTCCAAAAGCTGGTCACGACTACCAGAGATCCCTGGTTCGTCAAGTTCTATGCTCCGTGGTGCCATCACTGCCAAGCGCTGGCCCCTGTTTGGCAGGGAATGGCCCGGGAGATGCAGCATGTCCTCAACGTTGGAGAGGTGAATTGCGACGCAGAACCCAGGCTTTGCAAGGACGCTCGGGTGAACGCCTACCCGACAATGTACTTCTTCCGCGGCGGCGAACGAGTTGAATACACTGGTCTACGTGGTCTTGGCGATTTGGTCAACTACGCGAAGAAGGCTGTGGACATTGGATCTGGTGTTCAAGATGTCGACGCAGCTCAATTCAAAGAGCTGGAAGAAAAGGAAGAAGTGATCTTCCTGTACTTTTACGACCACGCAACGACCTCGGAAGATTTTGAGGCCTTGGAACGTTTGACTCTCAGCTTAGTGGGTCACGCCAAATTGGTCAAGACAAGCAGTGCGGCTCTTGCCGAGCGGTTCAAGATCACAACCTGGCCTCGTCTCTTAGTATCCCGAGATGGACGCCCCAGTTACTACAATGCTCTGGCCCCCAAGGATATGCGGGACGTCCGACAGATTCTGAGCTGGATGCGCTCCGTTTGGCTGCCTATTGTCCCTGAACTTACAGTCTCTAACGCCCGTGAGATCATGGACGGGAGATATGTCGTTCTCGGGATTCTGAGCCGGCGTCGCTCGGATGATTTTATCCTTGCCAAGAGAGAACTAAAGAGCGCCGCTCTGGAGTGGATGGACAAACAAACCCAGTTGTTCCGATTGGAGAGACAAGAACTTCGGGATGCTAAGCAGCTACGTATTGAGGAGGCAGAAGACCGCAATGACCAACGTGCCTTGCGGGCTGCTAAGAACATGCGGATTTCCATCCGGGAAGATGACAAGAAGCAAGTTGGATTTGCCTGGGTTGATGGCGAGTTCTGGGAACGGTGGTTGAGGACCACTTTTGGTATCGATATTGAGAACGGAGAACGGGTCATCATTAACGACCAGGATGTAAGTATCATTCGAGAAGTGCTATATTTGCCATTACTGACCGCATCTCCACAGAACCGACGCTACTGGGACGCCACTTCTAGTGGAGCTCCGATCATGGCCTCGCGAACCTCCATTCTCGAAACAATTCCGCTGGTCATTGCCGACTCGTCGAAGTTGAAGCCTAAGTCCACAGTCGGAACATTCGAATACGTATTCTTCGTCACCCGGTCCTTTATTTCCGGCCACCCCATCATTTTTGTCGCATTGTTGACCATAAGCATTGTTGCCGTCACTTACTTGGCTCGAGCCAGGCTGGCAAAGCGCGGTCTCAGTCGTGGTGGCATCCTCGGTGCAGTTCAGAGCAACAGTGCCGGCTTTTTCCGTCTCGATGGCAAGGAAGGTCTACTGAACGGGGGCGGCACCGGAAAGGTCGATTAGATCGTCAGCATCAAGCGCATTGTACAGTTATGTTTTGTTCTCCCTGTGTTGTTTTTTATTGCGTATCTCCATATTGGCTTTCTTCCTTGTTTTTGCCGTAATCACTAAATGGGTCTCTGCTTTTGACACGGAGGATGACTCTCTCATCTTCTTTTCCCTTATACAACCCAAATTTTTTTCTCATTATCGTTGACTTTGTTTGATTTTGATTGAAGCGGTGTTGGGCATGTGGTGCACTCTACAAAGGAAACCTGCTGTGGGATTTTGTCAATACACGGCGGGCAAAAGACACATAGACAGCTATGCAAATGAAATACACGTCTGTTTCCTGTCAACAGGGAGCAGATGGTGCGAAGCGTCAATCTGATATTCATGGATGTCATCACAAAATAATCTGAGTAACTTGGGAGAACATCGAGACTCTACACACATGATACTCCTGCCCTGTCTGCTTCATTTTTGTTTAGATTCATAATGTCTTGTCGATGTCCATCTATCTAGGTCATCTTGGCTCTGTCCACCTCTCTACCTAAGGTAGGTATTTAAAGAATCGGAAATCCAAAGCCTCTTATTTGATACTGTCATTGTCACGTGATTGTTTTTGCGCCTGCTGATTGGCTGCGGGATTGCACCGCAAGTTGCAACATCGGAGCCTCTCGGTTTTCGTCGAACAACCATTTCTCTCGTTGTCATTCCATCGCTGGAGTAGTTCGTGCCGTGTGTACTTATACTCAAGTAATATCAAGATGGTACGTATTGTATGGGAACGATTCTTGTCGATTGAGTTTTTCAGCACGCTTGCCAGGGGAACATGAATGATGCTTACCCGCATAACTACGGCCTTCGGCCTGCTATGCCACCCCGATGCTTTCGAAGAAGAGGGAGAGCGTTCAATTGCTGACGAATTACTGCCTTTCTAGTTCTCGCAAACCCTCCGTCGCGCTGCATCCCAGTCTACTGGGGCCTACCGCTCTCCTTTCGCTCCCAAGTGAGAACCCCTTCGAGAATTGATACCCTACATTTTGCATGGAGGCAATTGGTATTCGGGCGAGGCCTATGAACTGCCCAGAATGTGGGTCAATGGCTCTGGCATTGACAAGTGATCTGGCCTCCATTGATATGTCCGAACTGGTGATTGGATGGGCCTTCGTCATTCAAAAGCACAGCCTGGCTGTCGCAGACGAACGATGGAAACAAGACTTTACTGACTGTGGTGCTCGATGAAAATTAGGTACTATGTTCCTGCCCACTTCGGGGGCGTGAGCGTCAACATGGCCACCAAGTAGTGAGTCTCACCTTTGGTGTTTCAAGATGCATATATGAGCGGACAGGCTTCCGGAAAACCTACGCGCTCGTTTTATTGCCATTCCATTCTAATATGCTTTGATCCGTAGCGCTAGCATTGCTGCCACCTTCGGTGTTGCTGCTGGTACCTTCGCCCTCTTCTTCTTCGGTGAAGTGCCCCGCGTGCGCAACGACATCCTGCGCAAGGTTCCCTTCCTTGACGAGTACTTCGACCGCAGCATCCCTGCCGAGGACAACGTACGTACCTTTGAATCAAGGAAGAGGCTGTTGTGACGATTTGCTGACCGTTCACTAGCCGTTCTAAACGTCTTGCAACTTCCGCCCGTTTTCCTTGACCCGAAATGCCACCTGTATGGTTGGTCATCTGCTTGCGTTACCGGCTCAGTGGTGAAAACAAGGAATCGGTACTGTATTGTGTAGAATAGCGATGGGTTTTTGATAGCACATAGACACGCCTGGTCACCATCAAGTTTTCTCCTTCTCCTTCCTTCTTTGGCACGGAAATAAGGCTCAAAATGGCAAGCAACAGCAACATATAATTATGACTACGATCTCTTCGACTCTGTCCCGGGGTCCTAATATTATACTAGTACCAGCGACCTGAGTCTTTGTTTGGAGGTCTTTACTGCACGGGTAAGTTCAGCACCGACGGCAAATTTAGGTATGTCCTGTCATCATCCGTCAAGTATCATCCCATCAAGCCTCTCGATTCTTTTCCCACATAGGCAGGTATAACCTGACG